CACCATCCCAACCGTGAAGCATGGAGGTGGAAAAATCATTCTTTGGGGATGCTTTTCTGCAAAGGGGACAGGACGACTGCACCGTATTGAGGGGAGGATGGAAGGGGCCATGTATCGCGAGATCTTGGCCAACAACCTCCTTCCCTCAGTAAGAGCATTGAAGATGGGTTGTGGCTGGGTCTTCCAGCATGACAACGACCCGAAACACACAGCCAGGGCAACTAAGGAGTGGCTCCGTAAGAAGCATCTCAAGGTCCTGGAGTGGCCTAGCCAGTCTCCAGTCCTGAACCCAATAGAAAATCTTTGAGGGAGCTGAAAGTCCGTATTGCCCAGCGACAGCCCCGAAACCTGAAGGATCTGGAGAAGGTCTGTATGGAGGAGTGGGCCAAAATCCCTGCTGCAGTGTGTGCAAACCTGGTCAAGACCTACAGGAAACGTATGATCTCTGTAATTGCAAACAAAGGTTTCTGTACCAAATATTAAGTTCTGCTTTTCTGATGTATCAAATACTTATGTCATGCAATAAAAAGCAAATGAATTACTTAAAAATCATACAATGTGATGAAAATTACAGACCTCTACATGCTTTGTAAGTAGGAAAACCTGCAAAATCGGCAGTGTATCAAATACTTGTTCTCCCCACTGTATATCGACATAACCTGAAGGGACGCTCAGCAAGGAAGAAGCCACTGCTCCAAAACCACCATAAAAAAGCCAGACTACGGTTTGCAACTGCACATGGGGACAAAGATCGTACTTTTTTGAGAAATGTCCTCTGGTCTGATGAAACAAAAATAGAACTGTTTGGCCATAATGACCATCGTTATGTTTGGAGGAAAAAGGGGGTTGCTTGCAAGCCAAAGAACACCATCCCAACCGTGAAGCACAGGGGTGGTAGCATCATGCTGTGGGGGTGCTTTGCTGCAGGAGGGACTGGTGCACTTCACAAAATAGACGGCATCATGAGGAAGGAAAATGATGTGGATATATTGAAGCAACATCTCAAGACATCAGTCAGGAAGTGAAAGCTTGGTCGCAAATGGGTCTTCCAAATGGACAATGACCCCAAGCATACTTCCAAAGTTGTGGCAAAATGGCTTAAGGACAACAAAGTCAAGGTATTGGAGTGGCCATCACAAAGCCCTGACCACAATCCTATAGAAAATGTGTGGGCAGAACTGAAAAAGTGTGTGCGAGCAAGGAGGCCTACAAACCTGACTCAGTTACACCAGCTCTTTCAGGAGGAATGGGCCAAAATTCACCCAACTTATTGTGGGAAGCTTGTGGAACGCTACCCGAAACGTTTGACCCAAGTTAAACAATTTAAAGGCAAAGCTACCAAATACTAATTGAGTGTATGTAAACTTCTGACCCACTGGGAATGTGATGAAATAAATAAAAGCTTAAATAAATCATTCTCTCTACTATTATTCTGACATTTACATTCTTAAAATAAAGTGGTGATCCTAACTGACCTAAAACAGGGAATTTTTACTAGGATTAAATGTTAGGAATTGTGAAAAACTGAGTTTAAATGTATTTGGCTACGGTGTATGTAAACTTCTGACTTCAACTGTATATTATTTACATCAACAACATAGGAATCACTAGAAAACTTATTGTATGACCTCTTATACACAATATTAGGCCTTTGAAACTTTGGTTTTCCTAGATATGGCTACTATATTGTGATCACTACATCCAATGGATTTGGATACTGCTTTCAAACAAATATCTGCAGCATTAGTAAGGATATGATCAATACATGTTGATGATTTAATTCCTGTACTGTTTGTAACCACCCTGGTAGGTTGACAACCTGAACCAGGTTGCAGGCACTGGTTACAGTTTGAAACTTTCTCTTGAGTGGGCAGCCTGATGAAAGTATTTAAAATCACCCAGAAAGTATACCTCTCTATTGATATCACATACATTATCAAGCATTTCACACGTCATCCATAACCTGAATAATCTGTCTGTAAACAATTGTTGTAAAAATTACTTGTGTCATGCACAAAGTAGATGTCCTAACCGACTTGCCAAAACACAAGAAATTTGTGGAGTGGTTGAAAAACGAGTTTTAATGACTCCAACCTAAGTGTATGTAAACCTCCAACTTCAACTGTATGTAGAGCCATATACTGTATCGACATGCCCAGAGAGTGTCACTTAGTCTCTGAAGCTCTCTAGGTGCACCTGGGTACATCTCTCTTTGTACGCTAAGCCATTTTGTATGCACATATGACCCAGATGTGAAGACATACAATCTTTCTAGTGAGGAGAAGAACAGTCCTACCTCAGCGACAGCTTTGACTGTATCCACTAAAACTAAGTTTAGACAGTGCTCATTGCAGTGTATGTTAAAGGCATGCTTTGCTTGTTCTTTAATGCGTGACTGGACGCCTGAATGCTTGCCACTCATAACTGAAGCACCGTCATATGCTTGGCCTACTAGGTTGTTTTTGTATTCAAGACCATGACTTTCTAATATGTGTATGATTTTGTCAGTAAGCCCTGCTGCATCTAGTCGATCAGCCGATTCAAAGTGGAGAAAGCTCTCATGGACAGCTCCACTGAAATTGTACCTGAGTACTAGAGATAACTGCTCCTTTTTTTACATATTTTGTGTCGTCTGCCATTATGCTAAAGACCTCACTGTCTTTCACTTCTTCTATAATTTTTGTTCGAACCATGTCTGCCAAACAACTCAGAACCTCATTCTGAATATCTTTGCTTGGGTATTTTGCATTATGAATGGAAGTTAACCTTTTTTTTCACTGTTGTGTCATGCTTAGCTATTGTTTCTAGGATTGCCATGAAGTTCCCGTTATTATCAGACTCTGCAGACTCATTGTGTCCTCTTTGTGCAATGTTTTGTGTGGCTGTAAGTAGTAGTACGTCTATTGTTTTGATATAGTCCCGATTTTCTTGAACCTGTTTGTTGTGTTCCTTGTTTAGTGCATTTACCAGTGTTGCATTACTTTTTACAGCTTTCTGATAGTCTCTCCATGTAATCATTGCTTGTTTGTGCTGCTCAGACCTTGCATGAATTGCAAATTCCCCCTCTTTGTAAGTTGCCTTCTTCCAGTTGTTAAAACCCAATTTTGAATCAAATACAGTCTGAGACTTTGGGAAGGCTAAAATGCCTGCAGGCGTAACAAAAGACAGAGTCTGATTTTTTTGAATATTCAAGCCAGGGGTGGATGTGGTACCAGGCCGCCTTGAAGCTCCTCCTCCTGTCCCCCACCAGAGTTCTTGGGTACATGTTCATCACTGGCTGCACCGGTGGGTCCTCCTGGGATTTGCTGACATCTGTCGAAGAAAGAAAACTATAATTAAAAGTATCTATTTGGGTAATTTTAGACACATACCATAGCCATCAGACAACTTCTGAAATCCATCTGATATCTATATCACAAGCCCAATAGCATGTTAAATGAGAATTCATTTCAATCATAAACCGACATTTCTATACACCATATAAACTGACTAATTGCACTGCTTTACAAGTAACCACAGATTTATTCAACATCCCAAACCTGATTGTCCACTGCCTGTGGATGCACATGGGTCCTCTGTTGGTGTCTCACTCTCAGCCTCTACGTCCCCCTCAGCCTCAGTCTCTCCATCTGTCTCACTTTCCTGCTCTACTATGCCTTCACTCTCAGTCTCTCCAATGGACAAGTCTTCCTGCTCTCTCTCTGCAGGCTCTCTGCTCTCTCTTGCTCTCTCCACACTTGAACCCTCTGGCTCTGTCTGACTTTCTGCCTTGTCTTTTCTTTGGAAGAAGGACATTATGTCCTTTTTTCTCTTTATGTTGGTGAGAACTATAGAGCAAAAGCAATGGGGACCAAGCTTATTAATTCATTTACTGAAAATAACTGACTTGCTAGGTAGCTAGCTTTCATGTCTAACCTTTTAACGTTACAATGTGTGGTTTAAGTAAAAGCACCATGTGTTTTTGATTAAATATGATATCCTTTTTCATATTGCCATACATTTTTCGATGCCTGACTGTTAGAATTAGCTACAAAACTAAACCAAAAACAATGCAAACGAATACATAGCCCAGGATTCAAGCCAATTCATTAATTAATTCACAAAGAAAGTAACAAACGGCCAGGTTAACATTAGCTGATCTAACATTACACTTCTGTAATGCATTTAATAGTTAACTATGTTACAAATACAACATATCAAACATTTTTGCTCACCTCTCTTCATTTCCTTCTTCTTGCTTGAACAATATTATTTGCGCCAAATTTCTTTCAACTTCTGAATCGAAAAAAACTTGCAGATCCATGTGGTACGATACAGTTGTGTTCCGCCTAAAGGAGTCCCACTAGAAAATGTGTTGGGTTACTTTAGTGTTTCGCTTTGTCACTGTCTAATAACGGATGTAAAAAAATAAGATAAAAAGAACATGATCGCAAAAATTAATTCTGTGATAATTATTTCAGACTCCGCATTTAGGGAGGCCACAAGGGGGTCCAAGCTTGTTGTCACAGGGGCACTGGTTCCCCCCCCCCCCCCCCCCCCCCCCCCCCCCCCCCCCCCCCGAAACCGCTAGTGATACCAAGTGTGATGGATGACAACAAGGACAGTATAGACCAGAGCAGAGCAGAAGAGTAAAGGTGTTGGTGTAGGTGGGTGTTGTTGCGTCCTGTCAGAACTTAATGTTTGGAACCTCCCTGTCACACAAACACAGTCATGTCTCTTCCCATGATGCTGTTGGCCATTGCTTGTGTTTGCCTGTGTGTTCTCTCTAACTAACCACAAATCAGTTCCCATATATGCTGTATTTGATCATGTATACATAATTAGTGTATTTGTGTCTTGCACACCTTCCCTGTTGGCATCTTCTATATAGGGAGAATCTGTATCTTTCTCAGTGCTTGTGTCTTATGGAATCTTGTGCCTTATGGAATCTTGTGCCTTATGGAATCTTGTGCCTTATGGAATCTTGTGTGTAGCTCTGTTGACTACGTAGTGTGTGTTTACAGTCCCGTCCCCTGCGGGAACGACATACCTTTCCGCACATTCCCATCTGTGGCGCGGAATTCCCTGGTGTTGAGCAGGAAGCAAGCACGGTCCTGCTGGTAGCGTTCCCGTGTTACTCTGGCGCCCTCTCGCTCCGGACTCAGCACCTGGTCAATGGTGGGGCAGTCCTCGTTCGCCAGGGCCGCAGTGGCCGCGTCGCCGTTCTGCTTGGAATCTTTTGGAAAAGAAGGAGAGATGGGGAAAGGGGGGATGGAAGGAGAGCAAGGGAGAAGGAGAGAGTAAAGGAGAAGGAAGGAATAGGAGGGTAGGAGAGAAGTGAGGTACCTGGATAGTAGAGGAGGAAGGTCGTGATGGGAGACTGAGGCCAAACCGGGCTGTGTTTCCATATCCACACTAGCATACCACTTAGGATGCATGGCCATTACATTGCTTCACTCTACATAGTATGTTGGTATGGGTATTGGAACATAGCCGGAGGAGAGGAGTTGCTTACTTGATGATTCAATTGACCCAATCAGAGAGCTTGCTGTTGTGAGCTTAGGGGCTTTGATTGGCTGCTATATCTGAGGTTTTGGCATGGCACCTTGGCCCACCGATACAGTCTCCCATCACTGGAGAAAAGTGTGTAAGAAAATAGTCAAAGGGATAGGGGGAGGAGGTGTTACTACAAGCTACTGATCACAATTGAATACTGCAGATGAGATACATAATCAGAGACAGAGACAGATTCAGTAAAATAGCTTAAAAATGGGCCGAATCTAATCCCAAACTATGGTGTCCTACTGAACAAAAATACAATGCAATAGAGTATTTTATTAGGACTCACAAAAATGGTATTTTTCACTGTGTATGATAAAGTAAATAGCATTAATGAAGAGCAGTCGTTTCAAATGAAGGCTAAATGCACAGGAAGCTGCTGAGGGGAGGACGGCTCATAATAATGGCTGGAATGGAGCAAATGGAATGGCATTTTACCAGACGCTCTTATCCAGAACGACTTACAATTAGTGAGTGAATACATTTTCATACTGGCCCCCCGTGGGAAACGAACCCACAACACTGGCGTTGCAAGCGCCATGCTCTACCAACTGAGCTACAGGGGACTGTTGGCATCAAACATGGAAATCATGTTGTTGATGTATTCGATACCATTCCACCTATTCCGCTCCAGCAATTACCACGAGACCGTCCTCCACAATTAAGGTGCCACCAATCTCCTGTGGCTATATGTAGTCTAGAGCTCAGGGCTAAATACCATCTTAAGCTACTGTGTTTTCTAAAACACCCAAATATACACTCTACTATGATATGTAATTGATAATTGCCAATGTGTCAAAGTTCATGTCCATCCTGGCTTAGCTAGACAGCATGGTAAACTAAACACTGGATGTAGTGATTTAAGCTCACGGCCGGCTCTGTCGTAGCCGGCCGTGACCGGGAGACCCATGGGGCGGTGCACAATTGGCCCAGCGTCGTCCAGGGTAAGGGGAGGGAATGGCCGGCAGGGATATTGGTAGAGCATGGTGTTTGCAACGCCAGAGTTGTGGGTTCGATTCCCGCGGGGGGCCAGTATGAAAAATAAATACAAATATGTATGTACTCACTAACTGTAAGTCGCTCTAGATAAGAGCGTCTGCTAAATGACTAAAATGTAAATGTAAGCGGTGGTTCGGGGTGCGAGTTGATGCTGCAGGGTGGCTGGTGCTTATATGCTCAGACACAGCTGTCAAATCTTATCTCACATGAGTTCCTGCTCATCAACTTACTGACAACCTACAGCAAAACCCTTATAAAAGAGAGTGTGAAAGATAGCGAGAAAGTGGTGGGATACTATAGATGCTGATGCAATAAAATACTATAATTGCAGACTCACTGATGATTTCTCCAGGGCTACAAAATACACAACATGTGCAGTATTGTCATGTGTGGATCTTGGGTTCATAGGTAATACACAATCATGCCAAATGATATAGGAATTACTGTATGTATTACGTACTAAATATTACACTAGAGTTTTCAAAAAAAAAATGTCTGACATTTGAACCAAACTATTGAACCAAACGTATGTATATTAGGCTGTTATGAAGAGATCCAAATTAGGTTTTAAAGTACTGTGTTTGTTCTACGCAGACAGATGGAGGCCTATCGGAAAATGTGGACTCGCCAGTTGATCCTAAATTACCCATGAGTTCTGATGGGTTAGCTATCTCTCAAGGGCAGATTCAGAATCAGCCCACCCCCCCCCCCCATCCCTATCAGGGATAGAGGCACTCTAAACCCACACCCCATGGATCTGCAGGACTGTACTATTGCTGAGATTACTGAGTCCCTGTAACTAGCTGTCAGATAACATTCTGATTCCTAAGTCTTATACAACCCAGAGTCACCCACTTACTGTGCAAATCCCTGTCCCAAGTTTGATTTCAATGGATATCTGTTGATGCTAAACTGTACAGTTTGACAACCTCTTTGCCAAGAATATAATATTTTGCCAGGGTAATTTGTGTTCTACGACCTTGTGGAGGCCAGTGGTGGTGTGCCCAGATGCTCAGCGAAGCTCCATGTTGTGTTTACAAACTCATGCCAATCTTACGATTCAAGGTCGAAGCCAGTTTGTTAACTTGCAGTCTGTGTCTTAAAATAGGGGGCTGAGGATTAAAAATAGAAATGTCTCACCTCGGTTGATTTCAATGATCTCCTCTTGAGCGAGGGGGCAGTCAAGGCCTCCGGACCCGATCACCTCGCCGAGTACATTACCCAGGATCCTATGGGGCGAGGCGGTGGCCATGGCGAGGGCGTCGGGCTTGCAGTAGTTGGGCGAGCCAGGCATGGTGGGCCGGGGGATGTGCTTGCCCTTTTTCTTGGGCAGCTTCTGCTTAGCCATGGCCAGTGAGTAGTACATGCCAAAGTTGTTGACGATGACAGGCACAGGCATGGCGATGGTCAGTACCCCCGACAGGGCGCACAGCGCGCCCACCAGCATCCCCGACCACGTCTCGGGGTACATGTCCCCGTAGCCCAGAGTGGTCATAGTGACCACAGCCCACCAGAAGCCAATTGGGATGTTCTTGAAGTTTGTGTGTTTGGCAGCCGTAGGGTCATCAGGGTCTGCGCCTATTCGCTCGGCATAGTAGATCATGGTGGCGAAGATGAGCACTCCGAGAGCAAGGAAGATGATGAGCAGGAGGAACTCGTTGGTGCTAGCGCGGAGCGTGTGGCCCAGGACACGAAGCCCCACGAAGTGGCGGGTCAGCTTGAAGATACGCAGGATACGGACAAAGCGGACCACACGCAGGAAGCCCAACACGTCCTTGGCAGCTTTGGAGGACAGGCCGCTCAGCCCCACCTCCAGGTAGAAGGGCATGATGGCAATGAAGTCGATGATGTTGAGGGTGCTCCTGAAGAACTCGACCTTGTCCGGGCAGAAGACCACACGCGCCATCACCTCAATGGTGAACCAGATGACGCACATGCCCTCCACGTACATAAGCCAGCTGTCGGTCACCACCTCGTAGACGATCACCTCGCGCGTCACGTTTCCCTCCGTCACGTTCTCCGTCTTGTTGTAGATGGTATTGAAGGCCTCGTGCGTCTCCATGCAGAATGTGGAGATGGAGATGAGGATGAACAAAAGGGAGAGGAATGCGCAGTACTGGAAGAGAGGAACAGAAAGAACCAGAGAGTGGAGGGACAGAGAGAGCAGGGGAAAGGCAAAAAGACAGAAGGCAAAGAGAAAGTTGAAGATAGAGGGACAGTAAAGGAGAAAAGAAAGAGGAAGGAGAGAAGGGTTACAGTCATATACAAACAACAGAGCTAGAAAAACAGATGGTGTGTTGCTCAACAGTTAGTCAGCCCGTACAGGACACTGCAGGGCATTACTCGGTCAGATGAGATGAGCCCAGGTTATTAACCTCTACAGGATCGGTGTCCCGTATACGGGACGGTTGAGCTAACGTGCGCTAATGTGATTAGCATGACTGTTGTAAGTAACAGCAAACTTTCCAGGACATAGACATGTCTTATATGGGGAGAAAGCTTAAATTCTTGTTAATCTAACTGCACTGTCTAATTTACAGTAGCTATTACAGTGAAAAAATACCATGCTATTGTTTGAGGAGAGTGCACAACAACAATAAACGTATCACAGCAACTGGTTTGATACATTCACCTCTGAAGGTAAATAATGTACTTACATTCAGTAATCTTGCTCTGATTTGTCATCCTAAGGGTCCCATAGATAAAATGTAGCATAGTTTTGTTTGATAAAATCCATTTTTGTATTCAAATGTAGGAACTGGGTTTTACAGTTTGAACCCCTGCTGTCTCTGGCTCCACACCCACCCCGCCCGGCCATCTAGATAGTTAGAGTATAAGCCAATGATCCATCATGTATGACATTCTTGGGAGTGTGTAAACTTACATTTTGTATTACCATATAATTTTTGTATGTTCTCTATAGTTATGTACTTGAAAATGTATAAATTGACCAATTCGGCACATTTAGGCAGACTTGATACAAAATAGTCCAGTATTGCAATGCTTCACTGGATCAATCTGATACTTTGCACACCTACTGCTGCCAAAATCTAAATTGCGCCTAAACTGCAATATTATATTGTGGCCTTTCTCTTGCTCAGCTGGTAGAGCACGGCGCTTGTAACGCCAAGGTAGTGGGTTCGATCCCCGGGACCACCCATACACAAAAATGTATGCACGCATGACTGTAAGTCGCTTTGGATAAAAGCGTCTGCTAAATGGCATATTAAAATTAATTAATTTAATTTATTAATTAATGTAACAAAACAAAAAAATAGACAACGCATGTTTTTTTGTTTGTATTATCTTTTACCAGATCTAATGTGTTATATTCTCCTACATTAATTTCACATTTCAACAAACTTCAAAGTGCTTCCTTTCAAATGGTATCAAGAATATGCATATCCTTGCTTCAGGTCCTGAGCAACAGGCAGTTATATTTGGGTATGTCCTTTTTTGGCATGACAGCCTAAGGAGAAGCGGTGGAAAAAGTTGAAAACTGGGATCCACGCATCATAAACCTGCAGAATGGAGAAAAGGGAGAGTGGACCTGGCTGGAATGAGAATACAGACTACTGTTTCATTGGCGCAGAACGGACACAGAGAAAGGGGGAGTGAAAGAAAGATGGAGAGGACACAAAAGAAAGGGATGTGGAAACAGAACATATAGTCATTAAAGGATAAAGCTGATGAATTATAAATATCTATGTATCTCAGAGTGCACTGAATGGGTTTCAAAATCAGGATGGGGCACGTGCTCACCCCCTCATATTGAATGTTCAACATAAAGGGCCTGAAACGTGTGTCATTGAGCCTGTTTGCGGCACAGCGTGATTAAATGTGGTCCCAATTTATGTTCCAATAACTAGCCAGATTATTTGAAAATATGTCATGTTGAAATAACAATTCACGCATAAATCAAAGTATTATACACAAAGTAAAATGACTGACAGCCCTATTGTACATTATGTATTGACCAACTTTTGGACCCTTACAACTACTATATTAATCATACAGTGGAAATCCCTAAAGCCCAAAGTGCTTGAGATAGCACTCTATTTTAACATAATCATCTACATGATCCATTACACATCATTGCAATGTAACAGTAGTGGGGAGCCAATACTCCCCATTCAGTCATGTTATTAACCCCCTACTTTTAAAAAGTTCTGCAAATGCAAAAATTGCTAAAACACCCTCCAATCACCCTCCAATTAGCCATATAGGTACTCCTTATACTCCCACTACTGCTATTATGGTGCTACTGTATAAAGCACTGTATGATTGGTACCTGAGTAAATATCAATACTTCCTATGAGATCCTCTTCATAATAACTATAAGTACATTTATTATGCCATTTGAGCTATGCATAATGCATTATAATGCACGACATGGGTGCTAAAAACTGGTACTTATTTATTAACCATTGATCAAATCCGACAGTACAACAGGAGTACAATCAGTCAGAGACATCATATCAATCAACCCCCATACACAAAAATGTATGCACGCATGACTGTAAGTCGCTTTGGATAAAAGCGTCTGCTAAATGGCATATTATTATTATTATTTAAGACCTCAAGCTGAATATTATCCTGTCAAAGGGTTCATTTGAGATATCCAAAAAGGCAGGCTTAATTTCAAACTGTAGGTTGCCCTATATGTACTAAAACTAAACGACAACATCCAGTCTATAACAATATATGGGTACAGTGGTCCTGTGTAGCTAGCAATGCCAAGGCAATTTGTTCAATTCCCAAAGTGATCACATTTTTCTATTTTACCTTTATTTAACTAGGCAAGTCACTTAAGAACGACGCTGGGCCAATTGTGTGCCGCCCTATGGGACTCCCAATCACGGCCGGATTGTGATACAGCCTGGAATCAAACCAGGGTCTGTAGTGACGCCCTAGCACTGAGATGCAGTGCTTAGACCGCTGTGCCACTTGGGAGCCCCACATACACCTACTAAAAATGTATGCACTCACTGTAATGTTATTCGCGTTGGATAAAAGCATCTGGTAAATGTCATATATTATTATTATATTATTATAACATACAGTGCCTTCAGAAAGTGTGGGATGTAATTAATCAACTTAAGTACACAGTATCTGAGGTGATGTGGTGTGCAGATACTGTCTTTCAACTTGGGGATGGAAGTTAAACATTAGCCGACAGCCTAAATAAGCTGCCATCTCTGGACCATTTTGACGAAATGACATCCTACACGGCCAAGAAAGCAATGGGATATGCTAAAATCACACTGAGTGTCATTAGTACACTTCAATTGCTGTTTGGACACTGCTTCCCTTTCTCTCTGCCTCTGGAGAATACCCCCATCTTCAAACAGCATCATTTACATATACTACAATGTCTTGCATCTCTGAGCCTAGCTCATTCCTTTCCAAAACTCTCTCTCTCCTCCGGGCGAATTTCTTGGATAGAGAGCAAAAAAACAAAAACAGAAAACGAGCAAAGTTAGAAGAGCGTCCCGGCGCTGAGATATGCAATCTGCCCAGACCGTTTCCCGTAAAGAGATGGTGACTCAGTTTAGAAAAAGGGAGTTGCTTTATTTCCACTTTGATGTTCATCCTTCGCCGCGCTCCCATTTTCCTCACTCACTCACTGAGGCGATTTGTTTTGCTGGCATTTGCTGTCTGTGCAGTCTGTAAGTGGCCTGACTGTCTGTACTGTGTGTAGTGGAGCTCATTACGCTGGACCATTCAAATGTTCCTGAGTCAATTACACTGGAGTGATAATATTTGTGCATGGCTACTAGCGTCATCTTTTCCCATGACATTCTTACAGTTACATGACCTACAGTTTACTTATAGATCCAGTATAGATACTTTGTGCATTATCATATAAATAATAAAACACATATATGACCGGAATACATTTTATGGGGATAAATTCATACTTGAGTAGAGCCCATATACTGTATGTCAAATGCCTGAGTGCCCTCACTGTATTGTGTGTCTCCTATGTGTATATTCTCTGTTGTTCACATACATTCTTATAAATAAAGGTGCAAGCTGGAACCAAATACGTTTATTGAGAGCGATGCCATAGGGGAACCATTTTAGGGCCTCTGAAGAACCATAAATGGGATGGTTCTTTGAACCACACATGTTTCGTCCCTCCAGGACTGGAATTGTATAGCCCTGCTGTAGGGTTTTAAGCCTTATTTGCATATTTCCCAGGGCGCCTTTTGAGTGAATTTTAGTACCACCCATGACTGTGTTTGCTAGTGACGGAGACATGGTAGCTGCACTCATTCATTTTCAGTCCTGTGGCCTTCACCAAATGAGATCCTAAGTGAATATGTTGTCATTCAAATTACATTCTTTAAGACAATACATATTTCATAAGGCCTTCTTTTGACGGCCTAATTTTCCCCAAATACAGTGGCCTGAAACTCATAGTTTATAGGCTATATTAGCCTGCAAGTCACATTATGCTGACTCGCAAAGTGATGTGTAATTCCTATTGGAATCCAGCCAGAGTGGGGATATCAAACATTTGGCATTTTTATTCACCCGCAAGTTGCATTCAGAATGACTGCCAGCGTTGGGAAGACTAAGATATGCGACTACCTTGAACATCTAAACTGGAACAAACATTTCAGTAACGAGTGCAATAAGTAACAGATTAAAATAGTTTAGAAAAATGTATGTTATATATTTTTGAGTAGCACAAGGTTAATGAATCAATCAATGTACATGCAAAAACATAGATATTGAAGCAAACAATTTTTAAAAATCAACCCGCAATAGAGCATGCTGGGAACTATGATAAAAATAGGTGTGGTTTTGGTTCAACTCTGGTTATTAACACCAACACTGGGGTTATTTTACACCACTGAGTGTTAATGCAACTCTTTACAGTGTATATTTAACTCTTGAATCAACACTAGAAATGTTACACTGACAAAAGTTAACAATAGCCAATTTGCTATGTGCTATGAAAGGGACATCTGCAGGCTTCCATACATTTCAAGAATCTTTAAGAATTCTGAAGAACCGTAGATGCCACATCAAGAACCCCACACTTAACTCAAAGGTTCTTCATCTGGCAAGAATTCTCCAAGGAACCTTAAGAGCTGAGGAAGAACCATTAATTTTTTATTTTTTTTCGATGTTTATAATATATATTTAGAACAACATACAGTATATAGAAAGCAGCTCATGAAACATACCAAAATGGAGGGGAAGGGCCATGTGTTTTCTTGTGTAAATGTTTCTTTAGCACTCCACCCAACGCATATTACGACA